CGGGCAGGTCTGTTGTACTATGATCAATATTATTAGGTTCTCTACTTTCAAGGTATGGTTTTAGCAGAATTGGAGAACCCGAGACAAAGCTTTCAAAGTTTAATGAATCTGGTAAATTTTCTTTTTCAGAATATGACGTAAAATAAGAGTCAGGTATATTATTATTAAGTTAATTGACCACGTGATACAGGCTACAACAAAGATATTAATTTATGAGTTCGGGTATTTTTAGCACAAGCCCTATCTAACAAGGGCTTGCTACCTACTGCTAAGAACTCATTAAATAGTTACTTATTAACCATCTTGTTATTCTCTAGTGATAGGTACACATTAACTATTCATCATCATCATTCATCATTACAGCCCTTCACAAGTCCACTGCTGAACATAGGCCTCCCCCAAAGAATGCCACAAAAGCACGGTCCTGAGCCACCTGCATCCATCGACTTCCTGCATGTCTTACCAGGTCGTCACTCCATCTCGTGGGGGGACGCCCTACACTTCGCCTACCGGTACGAGGCTGCCACTCGAGAACCTTTCTTCCCCATCGGTTGTCGGTTCTTCGAGCTATATGGCCGGCCCACTGTCACTTCAGCTTACTAATCCGTTGGGCTATGTCGGTTATTCTGGTTCTACTGCGGATATCCTCATTCCTAAGTTTATCACGCAGAGAAACTCCGAACATAGCCCTCTCCATAGCTCGCTGAGCGACCTTGAGCTTCCTCATACGGCCAGCAGTGAAGGACCACGTCTCAGTTCCGTAAGTCATCACTGGCAACACGCACTGGTTGTACAATCTCGTTTTAAGGTTTTAAGGTATGTCTGAAGAGAAGATGTGTCGTAGCTTCCCGAACGCTGCCCAGCCGAGTTGAATCCGTCGATTGACCTCTCGGTCGAAGTTGGACTTACCTAGTCGGACTATTTGTCCCAGGTAAACATACTCGTCAACAACTTCGAGCTTAGTTGCTCCCAACAACTACCGGCATAGGTGTGACATGGACATTAAACATGATCTTTGTTTTGTCCATGTTCATCTTAAGACCTATCCGTTGGGAAACACTATTGAGGTCATTGAGCATAGTGCTTAGGCCCTCCAGCGATTCTGCCATAAGGACTATATCGTCGGCAAATCGAAGGTGAGTGATGTACTCGCCATTGATGTTGATACCGTATCCTTTCCAGTCCAGAAGCTTGAAAACGTCTTCCAATGCAGCGTTGAAGAGTTTCGGGGATATGACGTCACCCTGTCTTACACCTCTCTGCAATTGGATAGGCTCTGCAAAGTAACGCCTGATTCTATTAATTATCTTAAAATTAAAAATTTTGCAAAGCTGACTTCAATATAAGATATTAAGAATAACTCAAAAACTACTGGTCAGACCTTGATCAAATTCATATGGGACCACACGAGAAGTACCAGCTTTCAAATAAAAAAAGAATCACCGAAATCGGTTCACCCAGTAAAAAGTTATGAGGTAACACACATTAAAAAATACAGTCGAATTGAGTACCGTCTCCTTTTTGGAAGTCGGCAGAAAAGTTAAATTTTACTGCAAATTTAAGTTATAAAAGATTATAAGAGCCTAAATTTAGTGTAATAAATCAAAAATACTGCAGCACCGCCCAAATTTCGACGGAATCAAAGGCTTTCTCATAGTCCACATACGCCAGATATAGTGGCAAATTGTACTTTTCGGACTTCTGTACAACTTGCCGAAGGGTATGTATGTGGTCTATGGTGCTAAAGCCCTTTCGGAAACCGGCTTGTTCGGGAGGCTGGAAGTCGTCAAGTCTGCGCGCGAGACGATTCGTAATGACTCTCGAAAACAGCACGTAGACGCGGCTCAGAAGAGAAATCGGTCTGTAGTTCTTCAAGAGAGCGTTGTCACCTTTCTTGAAGAACAAGACCACCGCACTTCTGCTCCACGCCTCCGGTGTAATGCCACCATGGAGGACGGAATTAAAGAGCTTCTGAAGGACTTCAAGTACCGGTCTTCCACCCGCTTTCAGAAGCTCCGCTGTAATACCATCCTCGCCTGGGGCCTTACCGTTTTTAAGGTGCTGGAGAGCCATTCTAATCTCGCTCAGACTGACGTCCGATATCTTCGGAATAGTGTCGAATGAGATTCTCTCTTGGATCGTTACTCAAACTTGCGTGTGGCTCCAACGATGACGTGTACAGCTGCCCATAGAACCTCTCAATCTCACTCAAAATCTCAGGTGTCCCGGAAACGATGCTGCCACATTCCGTCTTCAGCTTTGACAGTTGGCTCTTTCTGGCAGACAGATCTCTGGCAAAGACTTTGGAGCCTTGGTTCCGCTCGATCGCTTCTTCAATACGAGCTGTATTGAAGTTGCGTAAGTCCCGCCGCATGCATTTGGAGATCTGTCTGTTCAGATGCCTGTATGCTGTCAAGTCTGTTGAAGAATGTAGCTTCATCTCCCGTCTAACAGCCATGACATTAAGAGTGTGATCGGAGAGTTTTTGTGTTCTTCTGCGGCGGGTCTTGCAGAACTTAGCTTCGACCGCATGGACAGTTTCCACGAGCTTGTCATTCATATCGTCCACTTCATTGCAGTCTTCTAGGCACTGAAAACGGTTTTGTAACTCGAGCTGAAAGGTTTCGGGACTTTGGAACAGAGCACGAGGGGGACGGAGCGTTGACTTCATTAGACGAGACCTCTCCAACTTAACGTTTAGGTTCAGTGTGCCTCTAACCATTCGGTGATCGCTACCAGGTTTCACCCTCGCGATCACGGAGACATCACTGAACAGCTGTCGTCTGGTCGTCATAATGAAGTCAATCTCATTTTTTGTCGAACCGTCGGGGCTCGACCAGGTCCACTTCCTGTGGGGCCGCTTCTGGAAGAAAGCGTTCATCATAAAGAGTCCCTCTTTCTCCATGAAGTCGGCCAGCTGCTGGCCCCTTGGGTTCCGTTGCCCTATTCCAAATTTCCCTACTTTCAGCTCACCGTTCTCTCTTGTGCCTAGTTTTGCATTGAAGTCTTCCATTAACACCGTATATTGGGTTTTGGAGGAATGCATGGCTCTAGAGATATCCTCATACATTTCCTCCACCTCCTCATCGGGGTGTGCCGAGGTTGGTGCGTAAACCTGTATGACCTTCAGCGAATACCGTTTGGTGATTCTGAGTATAAGGTACGCAACCCTCGTCGACACACTCCCGATCTTTACAACGTTGTTAACGAGAGACTTGTGGACGATAAATCCGACACCTCCTTGGGACAGATGGTCGCCCTCCCGGTGATAGAGCAAGTTGCCGGATTCGAGGATTACCGTGTCCTCCCCCTCTCTTCGGACTTCGGATAATCCTATAATATGCCAGCGCAAATTGTCTATCTCTTCTTCCAGCTCCACGATCTTCTCGTCAGTCCTCAGGGTGCGTGCGTTGTACGTTGCCAGGTCGAGTCGTCTAAGGTGGCAACCGAACCTCCACCGGAGATTCTTAGCACCCCCTGCCCCGCCGTTACCATGGTCGCCACCGTAGCCAGGAATAGCGGGGCCGCCGGGGACTGGGGGCCGTCTGTTTGTTGCTTTAGTCATTGGGGGGTATTTGCAATAGTTCCCACGCTTGGCGAGCGGGTTGGCAACCGCAGTTTTTTTTATTGTAATTTTGGCTATTATCAGGAAGATGCTGCTGCCCATCTCCTGCCTGTTTCGCTTTGTCGCCTTTTACGACACCCACGGGAGGATATGGGGTAGTGGATATTCTTGACCGCCACTACACATTAACTATTGCATTTATAAAATTTGTAAGAAATTTATAATACTACCTGACAAATAACAGCCTTCAATTTACCAAAATTTAAACAAAATACATACTCTAAATAAATACTCGAATCCCGAATATACTTATGTGAAAAGCGCGAACGTAACAGTTATGGATAGAAATCGATCAAATCAAATCCGCGATTGTGACATCAAATATTAAAGTTTATGGAATTATAATTGCAATATGGTTGAAAAACTTTGTTTCATGACAATGTACATACTTTACCTACCCTTTTGGTTAATATAGTTTCAATCAAAATTATTTAATTGAAACTATTATAATTTTAAAACTTACCTTCAAACGCGGCACTGGTGAAATCGCGGTAATGAGGAAGCCAGAGGAGGTAGTTATATTCGCGGTAGTACTTTCATCGTATTTTCTCTATTTTGGATAGCTTTTTGGTCATATTTTAAATACAAAATCGCGTATATTTGATTGAATACTATCAAATAAAGAAGAAATAAAAAGTTGCAATATTTTCACATTCGCGGTACTGAATGCCGAACGACGATATGTGAATATTGAGGTCTTCCGATAAAGTTGCAGATCCTGCACCTTCATTTGTTATAGAACCATGTGTGAAAATTCTAAGCTCTTTTGGTTTTAATCCCTCTGGCTGCTTAGTTCCATTTAATTGTATCTTATATTTCTTATCAAACAAATTTTGGTGTAAATTCTATCGATTATACCTGTATGAGGGGTTCTACTCTTACTCCATAGATTTAGGGTCTAATGGCAGCTAAATTTGCTTCTTGTTGTATGGGTAGGTGAAGCGGGGTGAGCTCGAGCATAGCCTCAGTAGCCTTAGCTACTGTTGGTGTAGTCCTTATTCAACCTGTGGCAGCCATACATGCTAATCTCTGGTAACGGTGAAACTTGTTTATAGCGATGACTTCATTCGTTTTTGTTCTCCATAGCAGAGCGCCGTAAGTGATCATGGGCCGAATTAGTTTTTTTTTAAACAGCCACATCACAATATAATTTTTGGCGTCAGACCCTATCGTTTGCTTAAACCCGTTACGCACACCCTCTCCATCATCTATAGGAGAAAGGATGTGAGGCTAATGGGTTTATAGGATTTTGGGTTTAGTCGCTGTTACTTGGTTTGGGGTAGAGATTTTAAATAAATAAATAATAATTTACAACTTGCTTCTTCATTACTTTCAGAAGAATTCTAATAATACTGAAGTTATTGTTTCTTTTTAGCTGTAGCAAAAGAATTGAACAACCTGGTTGAGGAGCAAAGAGCTATGGCAACTCTTGGTCGTATATATTTATTGCAAGGTCAGAGTTCTAACGATGAGAAGGAAGCAAAAATTTCTCTGACAGCTGCTGAAAAAGCGTTTATGAAAAGCCTAGTTTTATGTGAAAAGTAAGTTGTATTGTCTGATATTCATAATTTTCTTCTTATTATTATTTTCATCTACCCACTAAAATCTTATTCTGGACTTGGGCCTCCCCCATTCTCGGGAGGCTTCGCCTTAAGCTTTTGATTCGTGGCGTTTTACCATGCAGTGGCAGTGTAAAAATATTTACTACCCCATAAAATCCCATGGGTGTTGTAACAGGAGACAGAGGGAAACAAACAAAGAGATGGACTGCAGCATTTTCCTAATAGTAACAAGAAAAAAGTGCTGTTGCCAACCCGCCTGCCAAGCTTAGCAACTATGGCAAATGTGGCAATCTATGGGGGAGACTTATGTTCAGTAGTAGACAGCTGAACATAGGTCTACCCCATAGATTGCCACTAGTTCAGCTTTAATAGGTTGTACAGGTAACAGAATTGACGATTTCAGTATCTGATGTCTTGCACCTTTGTTTGATACTGTTGTCCATCGCTAGTCTGAGTATTTTATGAATCATACAAAACATAATGTAAAATTCGCCTCTTACGACACTTGTAAGATGAAATAGAATGATGAATTCTCTTGCACCGCCATCTGTTATTCATAAACAAAAATATTGACTGCTTTTACAAATTATTGATATTATTTTTAACTAACGGGTTAGTTAGCTGAAGTGGCAATGTACCAACCATATAGGTCGAAGAATCGACAACCGATTTGCAAAAAAGGCGAGTGTGGGACGGTCCCTAACTAGACGGAGTGACAACCTGGCAAGACATGCAGGAAGTCAATGGATGCAGGTAGCTCAGGACCGTGCTTTGTGGCATTCTTTGGGGGAGGTCTATTTTTAACATTGGACTTGTGAAGGGCTGTAGTGATGGTCATAATTTTTTTTATAATTTATGTTATTGTAATGTGATGGAATTCACAATTAATATTACCTTTTGCCAGATTAAATGGTAAAATCACAAAGAGTGAACTGATGGATATGCGTGCGCGTCTCTTGCTCAATATTGGAGTAGTTCAAGAACATCTGGGATGCTTAGAGAAGGCTTTAGACTGCATCAACAAAGCCATAACCATTTGCTCCAATCAAGACTTATATGATGTCCTACATAATTGTTATGCATCTGAAGCTTCACTATACAGTAATAAACAGAAAGATTTTGCTAAAGCTTTAAGTTGTTTAAATAAAGCTTTGGAAGTTGCTAGCCGGCTAGAAGACAAGGTAATTGAAAAGAATAAAATCTTTTGAATACTGCAAATTGACCATAGTTTATATTATTTATGGATCTGATATCATATTTATATTATGCAGGTTCTTAAAACATGTGAAACACTATCAGCCAAAGCAGATATTCTCTGTAAAATGTCAGACTATCAGAGTGCTAAACAAGTTCTAATGAAAGCTTGGAAACTGAATACACCTGATGAAGAAGAAAGAGAAAATATCGAGTCTAACCTGAAAGTTGGTAAGATGTTGAAATAATTTATGTAAAATCTCATTACAAATAATTAATTTATCATTGGTGAAAATTTGTCGTTAAAAGTTATAAAAATAATAAAATATTTTTGTAATGTTCCATAGTAGCCAATTAGGTGGTCAATATTACGAAAATAACATATTTTTAACATGTAATATAATGTGCATGACGAGGATTTTGTGTGTATTTGCATGATACATAGGACTTTTGTGGGATAATATAAATTATTTGGAAATGGTTGGCCATATCACTCATTATTGCTTTTGTTTGTTATTTTTATTGTTTGATGTTTTATTAACCAATAAGATTATTACCAATGAAGGTTACATTTGTAAGGTATATACGAGGGGGATAAAAAAGTTCGCGGAACGACAGGGAAGGATATTGAAATGAAACATTAAACTATTTTTCCTTTTCAATGTGTCCTCCCTTAACCCTCATACATTTATTAGATCTGTCAAATAACTTATTAATACCGTCTAAAAAAAAAGATAAGAAAAAATAAAAGAAAGATATATTTGTCTTGGGCGTCAAAATAGGCCTAAATTGCAGATTTCACTTCATCATCGTCGTCAAATTTTTTCTCACGCAGTTCTTTCTTCATTTTTGGAAACAAATAATAGTCGCTTGGGGCCAGGTCTGGGCTGTAGGGTGTTCATAACCGCACCGGTGAATGGCAGCTATCGCAACATGGCTTGTATGCACGGGCGCATTGTCGTGCAAAATCAGCAAGCCTTTCGTAAGCTTTCCTCGCCTTTTTTCTTTAATAGCTTCTTTTAATTGATCTAGTAAAGAAGCGTAGTATTCTTCCGTTATGGAAACATCACGTTCCTTATAATCAATCAAAAGGATACCCTTCTGTATCCCAAAAGATCGTCGCCATGATCTTTCCGGCCGATTGAGACACCTTATAATTTTTAGGAGGCACAGCCTTTTTATGCCACTGCATCGACTTTTGCTTTGACTCAGGTTCATAATGGTGAACCCAAGTTTCATCTCCAGTTACAATTCGGGCCATAACTTCCTCCCTTTGCTCTCTACAGCGGTCCAAAAACTCGCGACAACTTTCGACGCGCTCGTGTTTTTGATGCGCAGAATGCATTCTCGGAACCCATCTTGCACAGACTTTAGTCATGCCAAGGTGTTGATGTAGGACGTTTAAAATGGTTGTTTCTGATACTCCAACTAATGTTGCAAGCTGTTTTTCTTTAGCCGGGCGCCTTCTGATACAAGTTTCTCAACTTTTTCGATTATTGCCGTCCAGGTCGGGGGTCGTCTTCAATGGAGTCCCTCCCTTGTTTGAAAAGGGCGTGCAATTTATAAATCATGGTTTTCCTAGGAGCGGAGTCCACATAAACAGTTGACATCTCTTGAAAAATGGTTTGAGGTGTCTTTCCTTGTTGAGTGAGAAACTTAATGACGGCGCGATATTCAATTTTCTCCACAGTGGCTAGTTTCTTCCCGATTGACTTGTTTACTTGTTGATAACTCAAAACCTAATGACCCGATTAGTTTTTTTTTGCGCCCAGAAGCAATGAAAAGGGCTACCCTCCGGGAAGCGGGGAAGGAGGAGGTGGTGAATGCTCTAAGCATACCACGACAGCCGGCTGCGTGGTTATTTGGGACTCACTGCGAAACCTAAGTGCCTACCCACTAAACACCACCTGTGAGACTGGCATTGGCTTGTGTGGCCTTTCTGCCGAATCGGAAGCGACTCCCTTTAGGGAAAATGGGGCGCAGGGAAAAGGGGGCGCAGAACAATATTACCGACCCTTTTAGGCTGGAACTTGGAATATATACTAACAATGAGTTACTCAACTAGTACCTGACTGGATTAGTGAACTAATCCTCGCTAACCCCGCCATTCCCCGAACTTTTTCATCTCCCTCGTAAGTTAAATAATATGTCTCCTTATAAAATACACTTGTATAAAATCGACAACGTGATTGTGCTGATCATGAGCTCCCGGGATTGAATCCCGGGTCGGGCAAAAATTAGTTATTGGTTTTTCTGTTAAAAAATTCTCAGTAGCAGCCCGGAGTCAGGAAGTTGGCGGTGTTAAGAGTTAAGACTGTTGGTCCTGCGCCCTGATCTCTCTCCGGTCGTGTCAGATTACCGTTCCGTCATGAGAGTAAGAGAATAGAGAGTGCACCTGTGTTTGCGCATAAACTTTGCCACTTTAATCCAGTCCTTGTAGTGTACGTCGCTGCTGGCCGCCGTGACTGAAATTCCATCGAAGGATATTATTATTATTTTGATTCAAATCGAGGATAGACCTGTCTCTGGAACAAAACACCCACTTACCGTCAGGTGTATCAATTCGTCGTTGACGCCGCAAAGCCGCGAACCTCAATTTTTCAAAAAATTACAGGAGAGCAAGAAAACTAGATTACTAGATTTTTCCATCAGATAATTATATATTAGACTTAATGGAAAACTACAAATGAGATACAATTTTCGATTAAAATAAAATTCTCCTAGTCGCAGAGCCGACTACATTCGAGCAACAAACAAGCCATTCGAGCTACGACCATAATATAGCTACCATATATGCCCCTTGTGTTTAATTTATGATGTGATAATTTAAAATTCATTTTTACAGTTGCAGCTATGTGCTACACAGAAGACCTTCTCATTTCAACTGATCCTTCTGACCACATCACTTTCAAGAAATTGTACGAGAAACTTGGCGATGGAGCGTGTCATCTTCGCAACTACGCGGGTGCGGTGGAATATTACTTAAAAATGTTGGACCATGCGGAGTTAGCTGGTGACTGCGGGAAAACTCTTATTCCGATTTACGTCAGGTACGCATGTTTCCCAGTATATTAAATATTCTGTATTGAACTTGTTTGATTGTAACCTCATTACTCTTGTCATTTTTTCTTATCTTCTCTTAAATCCTGAGGCATTAGTTTTTTTCTTTTACTTCCAGTGATGATCCTGTATCTTTGCAAAAGCACTGGTTAGTAAAAAGTGTAAATTGTGTACCCCATATCGACCTGTGAGTGTCGTAAGAGTCGACAAAGGGAAGCAAACCAAGAGGTCTTCCTCCAGCAGCATCCTCCTAATATCGGTTGTCAACCCTCGGAGGCAATCTATGGGGGAAGCCTATGTTCAGCATTGAACTTTTGATACGCTATTACGGTGATGACAAAATTAATAAATGAACGCTACCTTGAATGTGGTAGAACCATGCTGCAGCTATATTAGTAGTATAGTTGTAGCACGAACGGGTCGGCTCGACCGGGGAAGGACCACACTCTCACACACTGGTATTCTGTGTTAAATAGCACTTTAACACTGCTGTGTTTCGTATGGTGAGTGTAGAGAACCGGAGACCCTTTTTACTGGAAAAGAGGCATTCCATCTTAGTCCTCACTGGTGAGAACGCATCTGTATTTTGATTCGCAAACGAAGATAAATGTAGATGTCTATGGGCCACAGCAACCACTTACCATCAGGTGGACTGCGTGCCCGTTTGTCACCCTATACTATAAAAAAAAACAATGTTTGCTATTTGTTGGCACTGCTAATGGAAATCAATAAGATTAGAAGTGGTAAATTTATGCTTAGATCTTTTAAGTTACGAAAAAACTGACAACCTTGTACCTTATTAGTACCTGACAATCACGCCGTGAAACTCTAGTTTGAGTTTCGTGTCGGCCTGAGTGAGTTTAAGTGTGGTTGTAATATCATTGACCGGGTTTCATATTCATAATCATAATCAATATACACATTTGTAAATATTTGTGACGCAGCATAAAATACTGCATCAGGTTCTTCCACGATTACGGTGTCATCTACACTCGGTACATCACACTGTGTATTTAGTTTCATTTACAAATAAATTCTTACTTTGATTAACAATTTGCTCCGCTAATCAGCAGTGCATGCATTGTTATGTTCGATGTAAAGCGTTTAATCTTAGTACTTGGGATTGACAATGCCTTGTTAAACCCTTTTTATGTGAAATTGGTAGCAGATTGTGGACTACAATAGTGGCAACTTATAATCAGTTGGTTTGTTAGGTAGTATGCTACTCTAACGATATAAAAATAAACAATCAGAAGTGTGATTTGTGGATTCCAATTCATAAAATAATATATAGCATTATAAACCTGTTGTATACATTTTTATCTTACTTCAACAAACATTGATTTCAGCCTCTATCAAACTTACAAAGACATGGGTTGTTATAATGAAGCACTTCAATACTATGACAAGGAATACGAATTAATTAAAGATGTTCCTAAGGAGGCTTACACTACACTGTTCAACATTGCTGAAGTACTGTTTTTAGCTAAGAAACCATACAGTGAAATTGAGAAGGCATGTCTTGAAGCAAGGAAAGCAGTGAGTAACCTGTGACTTCAGTCCTAATTTAAAAAGCTTTTTCTTATATATATATTTTTAAATAAGTATTGATTGTTTTAAATATTACTAGTCTCTGTAAGCAGTAATATGGTAGTAGACACTAGTGTCAATTGAAATACTTTTTTTTGCCTGTCAAATTAAAACTTTAAGAATTTGTACCAATATTTTTTATAAGTTATACATATACATACACAATAAATTGAAACGTACTTTCTTGAAATAACTACTTGTATGGTATAAATATAATAAAAAATATAATGTCGTGATGCACCTAGCATATATTTTTAAAGAAACCGTGTAATAATTAAATACTGTGAACAAATTTTTAATGTCCACCTTAGCCGATAATAATCTATAAAAATAAATAAAATTTATGTCTGTTTGTTTGTTCCGGCTAATCTCCGAAACGGCTGGACCGATTTTGACGGGACTTTCACTGGTATAGCTCATGTTATAAGGAGTAAGTTAGGCTACTTATATTTTTGAAAAATAATTAGGGTTCCGTGCAACAATATTAAAACCCTAAATTACACGCGAGCGAAGTCGCGAGGAACAGCTAATTAAAAATAATTTTGTTCAAATTGGTTGCCTTTAACTACAACCTATGGATCTAAGATGCTGTGTTACTTTGAGCCTTTAATCTCGGGCCTATTGGATTAATGTACTGTCTCTATGGGGAACTTAGATACGGAATAATTAGCTGCATCTATACGCATCTTTTAAAATTAAGCATAAAAGATTTAGTACCTGAGGCGCAAGAGGAAGGGATATTCTTTGTGTATTTTGCTAACAAACTAATGTGGGAATTATTTACTGTCATGGTCACTGCAATTCTGTTTTCTTTAATTCTCAACTCCATGATATATTTTACAAACATAGTGAAAAACAATATTATGTAGAATGGCGGAAAATCGATCAAAAGTTTCTCACATACTTAAGTCATTAAAACACAATTCCAAATTTAAATTTTAAAAAATAACTTTTTATTTTACTAGTATCGTACTATACCACATTTGCCAGTGTCAAGTAGGTGATAAGAAATAATCCTTAATAAATATTTATTTAAAAACTTCTTTACAACATGATGATGCGCTTTAGCCAGCAGACAGTATCTAAAGACACCTAAGCAGACAGATTATCTTGAGGTTTACATCGCCATCGGAGTTCACATGTGCAGTCATTTAATATACAAAATAGAAATAAAATTTTACTCCCAAACATCAAAATCCACTTCAAACCATTATTTATTCAATAAAACAGGGGCAGCAATCCGCCAGCGGTCAAGTTTCCGCCAATAACTTATATAACATTATTTATGGCCAGACTATTTATTAGCGGTATCAACCACCCAATTTAATCAATATATTTTTATCTCTTTGTGGATTATCTTGTCCAAAGGTTCATGAAAATTTAATCTTGCCAAAAATAATAAGTTCTCTAGTTTAGAGCCGGGGCGGCATCAGAGGCAGCTGAACTCAGTAAGTAGCGCAAATATGAAGTTCCTAAAGGAACCCCATTCGCGGCTGGTCGTTGCTGCTGGTGATAAGACGGCTGGTTCTTTTCTCGCTCAAAGGCTAAGTGTAGCCATTCAGCGAGGAAACGAAGCCAGCGTTCTTGGCACGATACCGCGAGGAGTAGGACTATATGATAATAAAGTTTCTAGTTTTAGTTTTTTTAATTATTATATTTTTAATATTGTATATAATAAAATATTGTATATTATGATAAGTAGACTGTTATTTTTTCAATGAATGTTTGGAGAAATGATATTGTAACTTTTTTTACTTCTATCGCACATTTCATGACAACATTTTTAACTTGTGCCTTTGTGTTACATTTCTCAATTAATAAAATAAAATATTAAAATAGTCATTATTTTTTTTCTATTTTTTTTTATAGGATAAGGGTGACAAACGAGCACACAGTCCACCTGATGGTACGTGGTTGCTGTGGCCCATAGACATCTACATCAATCTTTGATTAAGAATCAAAATGCAGATGCGTTGTCACCCGTGAGGACTAAGATGGAATGCCTCGTTTCCAGTAAAAGGGTCTCCGGTTTTCTACACTCACCAAACGAAACACAGCAGCGTTAAGCTGCTATTTTACGCTGGTATTCTGTGAGAGCGTGGTCCTTCCCCGGTCGAGTCGACCCATTCGTGCTACAACCTCTACTATTAAATTTAAAACTGTTGTTGTGTTTTTTTCAGCATAATTTATGCTGGAGTTGCACAATGTTATCGAATTTCATTACCGTTTCAGGCAAGGGATTGGAACAAAAAGAAATATGAAATCAGAGTACTAAAGAGTCTTTTAAAATATCAAGAGGAATATTTTGAGACTGATAAAATGGAACAAACTAAGGAAGAGTTAAGGGCTTTAGGCTATGATAACTTTGACAACCTGGACAATTCTGAAGATGAACAGAGCTCTCCTGGTGTTTGCGATGAAGATACTACTCATATTGGCGATGATATTTGTCTTGAAGACTTGACAGGTAAATGTTAAAGAATTCTTTATACAGGGTTATTTTTCAAAGAGAAGCCAAATATTAAACTTAAGTCAAATATATAAATAATGATATACCGTTATTGCAGTTTTTGAATATACGAGTAAATATGGCTTCTGCTTTTATTGGAAATTATATTCCAAATTTATGGGAAACAATTACGCGTACGCGCGCTCTTCTGTGTACGATCAATTCACAACATTTTTGCTGACCGATTGACCCTTATGAATGTGTGCATGTATAGTATAATAAATATTTATGAATGACAATCATTTAAAATAATGCATTACCTAGCATTTTAAATTTAAAAGATAAAAAGGACATAATGTTTAAGATTTTTTTGTTCTTTACTCCTTGCCTATATTACTTATTTGGCACCTTCTCTGAAAATTTGGCTGGTTATTGCAAAATAACCCTGTATAAAAATATATCACCTTATCCTGCATATTTTGGCAACTGCTTCAAATTTGTTAAAACAAAAATGATATTATCGTTAAATGGTACTTCAAACTCCCAAAAAATAAAATAGAACATTATGTACATTTCAAGTTTTGCTGAAACCATTTTTCACCAATTTTGCTGTCATTATCATAGTTGTTACGGTCTATCACATTCCATTGCAAAACAAAAGCCTCCACTGCAGAAAAGCAATATAATTGTGTAATGCAAAAAAAAAGACATTGTCTCATAATGAATTCAGATACAGAGTTATATTATCTCATTGCTGGTTGCTATATATATATATACGTAGTCACCACTGAGGACTAAGGTGGAATGTCTTACAGCCATGTATATATGTATACTGTAATCTTATTTTAAAGTGACAAACGAACTTGCAGTTCTCCTGAAGGTAAGTTGCTGCTACAGTCCATGGACACCTTAAGCCAACTTGAAACAAAGAATGCTACAAATACGTAGTCACCATTAAGGACTAAGATGGAATGCCTTACAGCCTGTAAATTTTACTGTTTCTCTATACCCTTCACACTGGAACACATCAATGCTTGCACTTTGGCAGCTACAATAGGTAAGATAGTAGTCACAGGCAGACCCAGACGAACACCTTGTCTGAAAAGGAGTCCTAGAACCAACTCTTTGTTAAATAGGCCATTACTGACACTGCATGAATGTATTTGTGCAAAAGTAAATTTTAATAAAAAAATACTACCATGTCTAACATTTTATAATATGTATTTAGATCTCTCAGACACCAATGATGAAGATGTAACAGAAACTAAAAGAGATACCAGAAGAAGAGGGAAAGGCTTTACAATAAAAAAGAATATGAAAGGCGAAACACAACTGCATGTTGTAAGTGTTATCACATGTTTTATATTTACACACATTCCATTTGTAAAATTACTTTCTTTTTAGTATTTGTAAGTGAACTTCTGGACACAGGTCTTCCGAAGATAACGCCCAACGTTTCTTGCAAGAAGTACCTATTTTCTGTTCTGCGGTGCGGTGACTTTATGTGTAGATATAAATAATTAACATTGTGAAATATTTATTATTATTTTGTCATATATACCTTCTTAGTCATAATATTAACAGAAATTTTAATGAATTTTGATTGTACATCACTAAGTTCTTTTAAAAAATTAACTCACAGTTTCTAATTGATAGTGAAAATTATGATCCTAATGCAATTACAACAATATCTTCTTCATTTAGGATCGGTGGACAGGGGAAATAAAAGGATTCCTAAAGCTGAACGCACATTTGTCAGCACCGTACACACTGCATGCGCCGAACGCAAATTTTTGTATTACCAATAATTTTTGCAGTTTTTCTAACCACTGCACAGTGCTACCGTCATAGGTCATTAGGTTGATAAATTACTCACTAGTAGCCACACTACACGAAACTATATAAGAAATCTTGATTTCGTCATAATAGCATTAACATTTTGCATCGGAAGTGACAACATCGAAGTACCGCGCTCATTAGTGTTATCAGTGAACTAATTAGTCACTATGCCCATTATATTCTGGGGAAAATACTATTGTGATTGTTGTTTATAATGGAGTTAGAAGTTCAAGGTATGTACAACATTTACCATATTTTTAATTTTACTGTACACATTACGACATGTTAGTTATATTGTTGGTGCTATATTATTAGTGCTTATATTGTTGGCATAAAAGATAGTATAAATTATTTAGAACTTTTTTGTTATGTAAGTTTTTAATTAAGAAATTTAGGTGAACGCAAGTGGTCTGTGCTCTTCTAGGTTGCTTGTGCGAGGGTCACACTGAAGTGATCGGGATAGAATATTTTGGATTGAGTTACAATAAAACCTTTTTTAGAATTGAAATACTGGCCTCTTACAATCTTAATGACATTCAAACAATTAAAAAATTGTTTAAAAACAAAAACTATGTTGGTTTAAAGTTGACACGTCGTTAACAGAAATGTAGCTCACGCGTGAACATTTCCGTGCCATAATTTATCACAATTTTCGTCGCGGATTAACTCAAGATAAATGTCTCAGCGAACTTGTTTCGATTTATGATGTTGAAGCACCGAGTCAAACGACAATATGCCGTTGGTATGCCGAGTTCCGACGCGATCGTGTGTCGCTCAGCACTGTTTCTACTGCAGACCAAGTCGACCAAGAACAGCGGTCACGCCTAAAAACATCGCAGCTGTGCGACTATTATATTAGATGACCGTCATGTGACATACGAGCAGATTCGGGCTGTTATCAGTATCGGAATGACTGCAATTTAGTCAATATTCTATAATAAGCTGTGCAAGAAAGCTAGTTTTCCGCTGGGTTCCCCCCAATTTGTCCGAAGAGCAAAAGGCGGCTCGTGTAGATTGGTGCCGGAATACTCTACAACGCTTCAACGGAGGGAAGTCAAATGCCGTTTATAATATCATCTCAGGTGACGAATCATGGATTTATTCATACGAACCTGAAAGAAAACATCAGTCAGCAGTTTGGGTCTTCGAAGACGAGGTCAAAACAACGAAAGTGGTTCGCTCCCGCAGCGTGTCGAAGAAAATACGTTTGTCTCGAAAAAGGGGCGTGTTGCTGCAGTTCCTTTACAGAAACGCAGAACGGTTACCGCTGAGTGGTATATCACGGTTTGTTTGCCAAAAATGATAGCCGAACTCCGAAAAAATAACCCGAAACATCGCATCATCTAACATCACGATAATGCGAGCTTCCATACGACTCGGAAGACAAATGATTTTTTGAAGCAGGAAAACGTTGAGCTGATGAGCCATCCTCCGTACAGTCCTGACCCCAAACGATTTCTTTACATTCCCTAGAATGAAAGATTTATTACGCGGTCAACGGTTTGAAGACCTCGAAACAGCTGTGAAAGCGTACAAATCAGTCATTTTGTCAACATCAACTTCAGACTGGAATTACTGTTTTAATGATTGGTTTGCACGAATGGCAAACTGCATTAAGTTGAACGGAGAATACTTCGAAAAACAATAAAATACAATTTAGCTATACCGTGCATGTGGTTTTTCTTATTCCCGATCATTTCAGTGTGCCCTTCGTAGCACCCGTGCGTCGAAGGTATCTACGAACATGCTACAAATTATATTTTTAATTTAAAAAAATATTATTGGTCCATCCAGGTACTTCTTATCTATCGATAAAGGGGAGCATGTCGGAAACAGACAAGATTCGGAGAGTCTTTCATGAGTTTGCCTCTAAAAAGCTTGGCGTGCTCAGCAGAGCGGGACAGTATTCCATGCCGGCACACCGCCTGCAACTTTACAAGGGTACGGCCTCACATGGAATACTGGTCCCATCTCTGGGCTGGGGCTCCTCAGTGCCAACTCCTTCTACTGAACCGCATCCAGCGCAGAGCGGCTCGAATCGTCGACGACCGAGTCCTTTCCGATCGGCACGATTCACTAGCGCTGCGATGAGATATTGTATCTCGTTGCATATTTTATCGCATCTACTACGAGGAGTGCTCTGAAGAATTGTTCGGATTAATTCCAGCCGCTGAATTTCACCTTCACATGTCGCGACAAAACTCGCGATACCATCCATACCATCTGGATGATTGGCGGTCCACCACTGTGTGATTTAGATGTTTTCTTCCTCGCACAACTTCATTGTGGAATCGATACGACTTAGGGACCTTCAAGAAAAGAGCCTACTCCTTTTTAAACGGCCGGCAATGCATCTGCAATTCCCCTGGTGTTGCAGTTGTTCATGGGCGGTTACTTACCATCAGGTGAGCCGCATGCTCGTTTGCCCACTCTCCTATAAAAAAAGTTGATGAAATTTATTACGGACTTCGAGAATGTGGATTCCGACAGTCTACTTAGGCTTACTGAGGCTAAACGATCAAAGTCGGAGATTGTCGAAAAGCATCGCGACTGTCTCAATGACGTAGAAGAGTGCAGCCTTACCACGTGTACGCAGCCTGTTGAAAATACCGATTCAGTGCCCTGCACTGCAGTAGTGGCAGTAGTAGTGCTGGGAACCGGTACAGAAAAGACTGCAGATTACAGCAAGCGTTCACAGTGTCGCAGGTTGGCTAGATTATCTCTAGTAGATGACTGCAGTTAATGCATTACTAAATAAATCAGAAAACTCCACTTTTTTACAATCCAGTACCGAAAAGGTTTTGTCTTTTATTGTAGAGGCCAATTTCAGTATATATTATTCAATGAATTCATTCACTCTAAAATTCCAAACGTCTTGCCTTCATATCAAAAAGTACTGGGTGCGAAAAAGCGGTGTTATCCTTCCGAAGAACGGATAGCAGAATCATCGGCCGAAGTTAACTTACAATCTTTGTTAGATCATACGACTACTCTGATACTTGAATTCCGAAAAGAAGTATTAATTACAATCTTTCCAAATTCTCGTAAAGAGTTTTTATTAATAGGTAAGTGGGGTTTTGACGGTAGCACGGGTCAAAGTGAATATAAACAAAGTTTTTTTGGATTCAAGTATTGAGAATGGAAATTTATTTGTTACTTCATATGTTCCTCTACAGTTAGTTTGTAAATCAAACACCTCAGACCCTGATAGCATAATATGGAAAAATCCTCGCCCTTCATCAACGAGATTTTGTAGATCCATTCGATTCCAATTAGCCAAATAAACTATAGAGTTTTCTGTGTAAATTTAAATAATACCGCTCTACAAACTGCTGAGAAGCTTGTCCAAGCTTATCCTTGGTATAATTTACCAGCTTCTGTGCATAAAGTTTTGATTCACGGTTCTGAGGTGATTGACTTTGCTCTTTTATCAATAGGTGAGCTCTCTGAACAGCTGAGTTGTCCCATAAGAATATTGAATTGATTAGAGTTTAGACGACAGAATACTCGTAAAATGTCTCTCGAGTTTTGACGAGCACTGACCTATTACACAGACTTCTATTAAATTCTGATCCTTTCGTGTCAAGTCTGCGAAAATTGCCATGTAAAAAGTAGTCTTTATTATCTAGAGAGGCGTTGGATATGTTAGATACCTATATAAGTTAAAATAGATAAATAAAATCTATAACTTAAAATTTAGTATTTAGTAGTAACTTTCATCCTTTTTTATTTTTATATTCTTTTTTATATGGATAAATGTCTGTTTATAAAAAATATACTGTCTTTTCTTTGTAAATTACCTTAACTGTCACCAAAATATACTTTTATTTACGTTAACACACAGTATCAACGGATAATTCTTAGATTGACTTCCTTTGACCACCCTTCTTAGAGCGTGGGATCACTGCAGTACGCTGGTGTGAAACGGTACAGTGACATTGATCGTTCGGAATCGCTCATCTCAGATCGCTATGAAAAAAATGTTGTAATAGGAGGAAAAAATGTTCGAAGAAAAATGATATTGTGGATTCACAATATTAATTTAAAAAGGTAATTGTATGGCGTCATCAACATGCCTCCTTCAATATCGAACACCTACCGCATTTTATAAAATACGGCGCGTACGGTGCGACTGCAATGTGCGAGGTTTCATATGATTTCATACAACGAAATCTAAAATGCGGCGCGTAGAGCGCGTACGGTGCTGACAAATGTGCGTTCAGCCTTTATAATCTGATACTTTACAAAGATGTTCGAAAATATAACTATGATGTATCAAGTTACATTTTACTTGTGTAAACGAAATCGGCTTTTTATATTTAAATGCTATATATACTATACATTATACATGCATAATATGTAATCATTTTGAAAAAAAAAACACTCAAATTAGAAATATTAACTTTACCTTAAGGGTAGAAAGAAGTGAGAAATTCGAATTTCAATAGCCATTTTAACAATTATTTACAAAATTAAAGATGTGCTAACAAGCCATACTCAAAAAAATTACACAAAAATGAATAAAAAAAGAATCTTTATTCAGGAACTGAAGCCAGTCAATGTGAAAAAAAAACACGCGCAATATAAAATGCATACAGAAGCGACTTACTAAACTTTGTTGTATAAGTCGGTAATGAAAATGTTTAGGTTTGGAATTAAGATCTAAAGATTTTAACTTAAAGCTGTCTGACAGCTCTAAAACATTCCCGTTCAAAACTTATAAGCTTTTATATTTATAGGCATGCATATCAGGCAACAAACTACTAGTAGAGAGGCTACTTGCTAAAGGTCACCCAGTGAATGTTAGAGACAATGCCGGTTGGCTGCCATTACATGAGGCTTGTATACATGGACACTTGGACGTTGCTAATATATTGATTAATAATGGTGCTAATGTAAATGACAGAGGAGGGGCTAATTGTGATGGTATGTTTTATTTGATAATAATATTAAATCTTTGTTTCCCAACATAGATATAGTTTATACACTTATTACCATTATTTATTTATTTTAGCTTTTAACAAATTGAAAAATAAAATGTAGAAATAGCGACATTAGGTATTTCAATGTATTAATAGAAGCAATTGAAATTTGAGATCGATTAGAATATTTGGATTTTTTAACAGTTTAGACACAGTAGACGAAACCCCCGACTACTGAATATCTCTGCAAATTTCAGGTTTGAGAGCCAATATAAAAATATTTATTCCAACTAGTACAAACACAATTATTGGCTTTAGTGCCTGGTTGTTTTTGTTTATCCCAATGCTCGTTTTATTACATCTTAGCCTAGTCCCAGGATGTAATCTACCAAAGCTGGGCTGAGCTGAAATAAAGAGTATGCTTTACACTAATGGAAAATTAACAGCTTAATTAACTGTTCTAGGCATAACACCTTTATATGACGCTGCTAGCAATG